ACACCTGGGGAGCCTGTACAAGGGAAGCCCACCCTGAGACATCCTGAAGGGGCTCCTCCTGACCCAGTCAGGAATCCTACTTGAGGCTGTCACTCTGCGGGAGCCCACTAACAAGAAAGGGAGCAGAAACCACCTCTCTGTCTTCAGACGGGGCAAATAACAGAAGCCACCTCCCTGCTCCTCTTCAATACCTCCTCAGTGGTATTTTAGCATCTTAAATTCACTGACATGGCTGCTCTTACTGGAAAATTCCCATCTTACAGGTGTTAAAAATCAAAACTCAAGACTCCCAAAACATAATGTCATATCCTAGCTCCTAAATAGTTCGGCATCCTGGTGGACATGCACCTAATATCATTATCTGACCCTCCAAAACATCCATGTTTGCTCTCCTGCAGATATTATCTCAGAGACATTTACTCATCTAAAGCAGGATTCTTAATTAGCCCTATGCAGGGCTAGTCTTCCATTACCCATAAGGAAATTGAGCCAGGAATTAAATTACACCTCAGATACGTTGTCCCGCATCTTTCAGCTCTCCCCTAATACAAGACATTATTTCACAAGGCCCTGGTTCCCAAAAAACACATTCTGTGACATGCTTTCTGGCAGAAAAATAAAGAATCCACACATCATGGTTTATCTCTATGGGAAAGATGTCTGAAATTAATGACAGGAGGACAGCTTCCTCAGTGGACATTTCTTCAGACCCCACCAGTTTAACAGTGACTGTTCCTCCTAAGTAGAAAAACTATTCATGACACTCTGGCAACACAAGTATTTTGTTACAGGGTAAAACTCTTCATGTTTGCCTAAGGGAAACACATCCCTTCCAACTGCTTCACCTCCCCTCCATCACAAGTAACTGATGAAAGTTTGGGATGAGGAGGAGGAGAAATTAGGATAAAGTAATGGAGAAAGAGAGGGGCTGAGACATGTATTTCTGGCAGAGAAGCGAGGAACTGCTCATGGCAAGACAGAATATGTAAACAGAAGAAAACAAACACAAACATAAATCAAGGTTAATGCAGAACTCTTCTGTCCCCATGCTGTGCTGTGAGAGAATTATGCCACCTGAGATTCAACTCAGGCACCAAAAAGTTTAGGATTTGTATCTCTCAGGCAGAAATTCAGTCCTAGACAAACTCTGTTTTACGGCTGACGTAAGACAGAAATGCGGAAGGCACACGAAATGGAACTTCCTTGCAGTGGGTGTACCTCCTCAGACTAGAAGTACACTCCCACCACACTTGTACAGAGCAAGACCTCCTCTCTTCCCCAGCTGCATCAAACACTTTCAATGCATCCAGCTTGGGAAGGGTGAGAGCAAAGTCATTCTCACCTAAGCCTATGGCCACAAACCCTTTGATTTAGCACTGTGGCACTGCTATAAGCACTTCACATTAATGAGCAGCCACTGAACAGCACAACTGTAGGACAAAGAGGGACTCTCAAGATAAGCTTTTAGTGATGTAAACTTGGAGCAAAATTTGCCACAGAGGTAAGAAGGATCACAGAAAACAGTTTCAACCACCCACTGTCAGAATGTGCTCCAAAACTCACTTTTATCAAGTCAGTGTGACAAACTTCTTTCTTAAAGACAATCAAAGTGTACGGCATACTCTCAAATCTCAGTTTACAAATTCTTCTGCTCTAAATGAGATATACTAGACTCAAGAATTCATGAGTCTAGGAGTCAAGGAAACTTATTAGAGATTATTTTTCCTATAAACAAGACAGCTCTTCTTCAAAAGACTTAGGAACTCCACAATATTATTTTAAGGGCACATTTGAAGCGTATTTCAAAGAATACATTCCATACGGCTTTTAAACCTGACTGTGTCTTCTATCAGTAATTTGTAATCCTTAGCAGCTTTGGGGAGTTTTCTGTTTTATTTTAAGAAGCCTTTGCTGTTCACCTTTAAGCACAGTTCATATGCCCGCACCAACACATAAGAATGTACCTTCAACCTTTTTATATTTATATTTCTTCAATACATCAGCGAAGATTAAAGTGTGGTTAAGCCTCCTCTTTTATCTTGGCATAATTCATTTTTGCACCATATCAACCTTCTCCAAGGCTGTATATTTGCATATTAATAATAATAAAGCCTGCTTTTTAACTCCTCCCTTTAGCTTAATATATTAAAAAGTGTTGATAGATAAGACTTGGCTCTCCAATTAGTGGTGGTGGCAAAGCAGAGTTCAAATTATTCCATTAAAACAGAGACAGCTATGTTTATTGTCCTCCCACATTTGAGTTAAGCTGGAATTTCACTCAGAGAAACTGTCCTGCTCTGATTATGATAGAGAAGGTGCAGATTTGATAATTTCTCCAAATTGGCTAAAAAACATTTGGGAACAACGGTTTGAATATCTTTACTGTTTCCCAGTTATTTGCATTCCTATACATTCTTTCTGAAGTGCAAAGGAACTGAGGATGCATCACCATGGTTTCTTTAAGCCAATTTTTGTGTGGGTTGCAGTCAGAATGAAGCAGCCTGCCCCTCTCCGTGCTGTCACGTCTCCCCATTGCCTGCATTGTGCTGGAGTTACTGGGGTTGCAGCTGCATGGTTAGCAGGGCCAAGAAACCAATCTACCTACCAATTAATCCTCCCCCCTTTTATTTCCTGCCGGGTCGTTTCCTACCGCACAACTCCTGACCACCAGTATCAGCAGAATGAAGCCTGGTGGAGCACACTGGGGGGTAGAAGACCACTCCTGACAGTGGCTGGCACTTCACCGTCTCAGAGAAGTGGCCACAACGTAAGAATCTGCTCTTGCAGCTTGGACTACAAAGCTGGCATAATCAAGCTAGCTTCAGGCTAATGCATTTGAGTATTAGGGCAGAGAGCTCAGGCTTGACTGACTGCCCAGCATGTACCCATGTCCTTGGCCAGTTTTATCCACAAGTAGAGAAAAAACATTGATCCACAGCTGCAACTCTTTCCAACTCTGCAAACACCAGTGCTTCTCTCTACAGCACTTAAGCTGGCTCTCACCAACAGCCAATGCAGCCTTTACTGATCACTGAACTTTGATCACTGAACCAGATCAAGTCTGCAGGATGTAGAAATAGCAACAAACAGAAGCTGCTGTATTCCCCCCTGCACTGCTCTAATCTCCCCTGTGCTGCCTTACTTCTACATTCTCATTACTTCATGTTTTTAATGCCTCATAAAGCTCCAGTTCCTGGAATCAATATGAGTATCTGCCTCATTTAAAGAAAAGACCAAAATATTATCTGACCACTTTGCAGAGAAATTCAAAGGTAAAGAAACTTAGCTAACTAATTAAGACAATACTATCCCCATAAAGAAACAAACAAACAAAAAAGGGAAATCCATCACTACCTTCATGCCATTCTCATGTTTCTGTTTTTAAAATATTAGGATTTAAAATTATTTATTATTTTAACACTTAAAGATGTTTGTTTTGAAACTACTTCAAGAGACTGACCAAACATAAACAAAACGTGAAGCCAAATTTGCACTGATACCAGCACTGCTGACAATATCATGCCCTAAAGATGAATACTGCTAGAGAGTACACCATTTATCGTGACTGAATGCCCCCTTTTTCCTCACAGTATTTCTGGAATGTACATTGCAAAGTTATAAAATACACACTATAAGGTCAACTACAAACAGCTACAGAAATACCAGTTCTGAAATTGTGAGACTTCTGATGGAGGACCTGCACTGACCTCAGTCTAAAAGACCCTTCACTGTGGACTGGAATTCAGAGGGAAAGCAAAAGAAGCACATACTCATGCTTGAGGAGAAATTCTGGTAGAACAGCTTTCTACTAGCAAAGAGGGCTTTTTCTGCCCACAGCACAACAGCACCACATGTAACCTCAGCTCAGACACAAGCTAACTTTTGTACCTACACCCTATCTGCTAAGTGAAGGACCTTGGAAAAAAATCACATCAGTAGAGATTTTATCTCCTCCAGACAAACCAAATACTGCTACCCAGAGACTCCAAATTTCAAGAGTCACTTGAAACAAACCAACCAACCAACCAAAAACCAAACAAAAAAACCAAACCCAGGACAAAAGTGACTAACAAACACTGGGTCTCCTTAGTATATCAAGGGCAGTTTTTCCTTCCTAGATCCTGGAAAACTAGTAACTTCATTTCAGCAAGAGTAATTGTATTACCTAACCCTTATCTGGCACTTTTTTATCTGTTCCTCTCAAAAGAGGTCAACAGCACTGTCTGCATATGATAGCACTATTTGCATGAACTCCATCAGTAGTACCCAAGTCACCTCAAACACAGTGTCCAATACCAGGCCAGTAGCTGCTGTCACCAACACCAAAACCAGAAGGAAACATCTGTGAGTCTGTGCTCTATGCTAAGCCAGAAAAACAACTCCTATCTTATCTGCTGACTCGAGAATTCAAAGATTGTGGTATAATATTGACAATGAAAGTCTGGATGTTTTGTTCATTTTAACTACAGGGATTGTCAACAGCTGTATTACCCCACAGGAGTTCACTCAGCCTGACCCTGTTCTTCCTCAGGCTACACCCCCATTGAAGCCTGTGGAAGCTTTGCCTTCTCGACTGGGCCCTACACTAACTTTAATTAAAGTTCTGCTGTCTCTGGCTATATGGCTGTTCAAGATGGGCATCTGCCCTTATGAAAGAAAATTGAGATAACTGGACAGAATCCTTCATTCCCATAAGGTCCACAGAATATTTTTGCTGTAAAGAATACTGACAATAGTGGTATGTTTGTTACCACCCATTTCTGACTGAGACAGTTATAAACTGTGGATGTGCACTCCCCTTTCATTCCTGTCCATCTCCTAACAAAAAAAAAATAAAAAAAATTAACCCCATCTTTTGCTTCAAAACACTTCAGACAATCAAGAGCTTATCTAGACATCTCAGTGATTTTACAGTGTTACACGTATCCTAGTATCACAAGAATATGTTTTACCTTGAGGCAAATGTTTTAATTTATGTGCATTTGAGCTATTTGCAATACCTCCACCAAATGGAGCCCATATAACCCGTCGGATGGCTTTCACCCAATCTTCCATTTCATTCTGGGAATTAGCCATGAGCAGGAAAGCCTCATGATTGACAGGCATCTTTTCCCGGTCCCCTGCACCACCTGAAAGACAGAATAAAAATCTCTTTTAGTATCCTCTTCAGAAGAGAGCAACCAAAGTTTAACACCATCAAAAACATTGGTCAAAGTAACACTATTATTATTTGAATTGAGCAGTTTTTCAGACAATTCCTGCTGACGTCCTGCAGCACCCACAGAGCACAGGTTGATAGAAGATCAAAGCAGAAATGCAAAATATGCATTTCCAGTGTAAGGAAACTTGGAGATGTTGTATCTGCTGTCTCAGCAATAAGAAAAGCAAAGGTACAGGCGGCAAGACTCTATAGGAAAAGAAATTAATTCCACATACCTGTGTTGAGGTATTGAGAGATTTTTACCCAAAAGAGGGACCAAGTGACATACAAGACATTTGAAAATGCTTCAGATGTAGAAGTCACAAGATCATCTGCTTTCCCCAAGCCTCTGGGATATTTATAGTCTCAATACAAAGAGACCCATTCTGATTTTGGATCCAATTCAGAAGAAAGTTAAGAGATGGGGGCGTGATTCTGACACTTCCACTTGATGTAAAAACTTTAGGAGCTATTAACATTGGTGTGTAGCATCTCAGAAAGGCACTGACAAGAATATAAAGCTGTCACAAAAAAAAAATTGTGGCTACTCCAACACTTGAAACATTTTGACCCTGCTTTTCTTGTTTCATTTTTAGGTCAGCACTCTAACAATTTAAATCTTCCCCTCACCCTTCATTTTATGTTCCAGAGCTGGATACAACCGAGTGAGTGCCACACAAACACATAAAAGCTTTATTAGAACAGCCTCTGTATGAAAAGGCTACTGATCCTGTCCAATTCAGCAGCTGCATCCCCAAAGGCCTGGAGCTTCTCCATCACCATGGAAACTGCCTGTGGCTTTGCTACAGAGATAGCATCTGAGCTGTGTGTCACTGTCATTTCCATGCTTACATGGCTTTCAGCACCTACTGGCAAGCTGAAGCTGCCAGCCTGTGCTGAGCAGCTGAGATTATCTGCCCATGGAATTCAGAGATAAGAGCAGGATGATGGTATGCTGTGGTTTCTGCAGAGCTGATTTAGCATACACAGAACATGTGCTTCTTAAATCCTTGCTAATCTGGGGAGAGAAGCAAGCTGGGAGCTGCCTGCAAGCCAGGGAAGTACTTTTTCTTGCTATTAATTGTTTTCTTGCCTTGACACACCCATGGAACATTTATTGATTTGCAAAGCAGAAGTGGAAAAATGAGATGCATTGGGAAATATTTTATGGTTCTCCGAGAAGCAATTCACTAAACTGGGAAACTGAGGCAGTTTTTCAGTAAAGAGGAGAAACAACAGCCACCAGGGACTAGTCATGCAGCTTAAGAAACAAAAGCCATGATGCTTTGCCCCTACATGTGCCCAAATTCTCTTGGACAGTCTCCCACTTTTTAATTTACTGAATTATTCATATTCCTTAAGGTATATAAAGAGAACAGCTCTCTAGCTCAAGGCTAGGATGCAGGCATCTGAACAGATCAATGTCCCACCATATTCCACTGCAAGGATGACATACTTCATCCTTTGTATACAAAACTGTCTGCCCAGGAAACTGCAGTCTGAAATTACTGTCATTGCCTAAATCTTTTTTACCAACATACTCATGGTGGAAAAGCAGAGGTCATGAAGTATAATTCTTACACCTTACCCAGCAGACCTACTGACACACCCTTTTTCACATCCAAATGTTTCATATGATATACGATTGAAAAAGGTTTTCCACGACCCTCAATACACATCAGAAACGGGTTTCAGGATGTGGCATTTGGCAGATAGCCTGAGCTCAAGCTAGGCCATCATTCTTCAAAGGAATGAAACTGCCTCTAAAAGACATTTACTGTATGGGTCCCACCACCAGCAAACCACTGAGTTTGGTCAAGGTAAAAATACATTTTGTTCTTGAGTTTAAAGGGGTCAGCTGAGCTCTTGCCCACCCAAGCCATCAAGGGCAAGAAGAGACCAGAAGCTTATCTTAGAATTAATCACAAACTAAATTTAGTGGAATTAGCTGCACTAACCCATAGCAAGATTGCCATAAGAATCACAATGAGCAGAGGATGGAGATGACTTACTGGACTTCTGCAAAACTGGCATCTTCTCAAGGAATCACTATACCAGAGGCACCTGACTACAAGTCCCCTTCCCCTAAGATGTTACTTTGGACCAGCCAGCTGCTTTCTAAACCTTCATAGACAGCTTTCATGCAAGCATTTAAGGTGATAAAAACCGAAACATTTATACTTTTACTTGAACCTGCAAAAAAGCAAAAACTGGATAGGAAAAAAAGATTTCTGTACACACCAGACCTGAGATTCTACCCAAGACTACACATAGTTCCTCCATGCTTGCCTTTCCCCACTGAAACTTGAAATAGGAGCAAGGTCATGACCCTACAATCTGCCTGTGGGAGAGTCAGTAGTGACTGGACATGTAAGTACAAGCAAATGAAGGCAGCTCCACACACAAACACCAGCTTAGAAATAAGAATGAACTTCAGAATTGCTTCTTATGTTAGCAAAAAGTGACTATGCAGTGGCAGAACACGGAGACCCACCTGTAAACATTTTTAGTTTTTAATAACATTTTACTCATATTTCTTTATACACTTGGCTGTTTCCTTCCACTACATCATTGAGGCATCAAGCAGAAAAATTAGGGCTTACTAAAAGGCAGAGTTCAGATACATCTCTCTACATTCAATACCTTTTCAGTTTTGGTAGTCACAAGAATGAGAAAGAGCCAAATTCAAACACCTAGATCTTCTTAAAAAACAAACAAACAGAAAAACCCAACAACCTCCACAAACAAACAAACAAACAGCCCAAGGAAACAATGTCACAAGAAACTTCTTAGAAGTCTAGAATTTTGCCTGAAACTCACAGATGATTTCTTCTGTGGGCTCAGACACAAAGCAGGATCCTATAATAGATTTCAGGTTTGAATTGGAAATGCAACACTGTATCAACTCAAATGCACTAGACTTTAGAACTGTTTTAGGAAAACAATTTCAAAGCTTCCTGCCCAGAAACACTTAGGGACAGAATTTTAGTTTTGTCTCTCACAACAGGATGAAGTTCATATTAAGCTGCTGAATTCAAACCTCTTCTCTGCCATTGCAGGAGCTCCAGCCCTTACTGTGGTTGATGCTAAGCTCTAACCCTGAAGCACACAAGCTCTATTTCTACGGTGTGAATCAAACAGGGTGTCTGGCTACTCAGCACCATGATGCAGAAGAGCACTCCGTTAATGATTTTAAACACAGACAAGGCTTTTTCATACCCTTGAACAGAATGTCTCACTCATCTTTACTCAAGCTTCCATATAAGCAAGACTGGGCCTCAGAGACAAGCCCTGCGTAGCTCAGGATTGCCATGGGCAGACACTCCAGTCCTTCTGCTCAAAGCTACTTTCATCTCCAGACCAGAGATGAAATAACTGCAAACACAAACAGAGTTCAAGTATCTCAAAAGATGTGTCAGGAACAGGGGGCTTAACTCTGGGGATGAATAGTCCATCTGCTTTAGCATTAGCCTGTGACCAGGGGATCCTGTATTCTGTCACCTGCTTCAGGCTTCTCGTTGCTGTACACTGGGCAAGATGCACTGGATTTCATCCTTATCCATGAAGCAAGCTGGCAGCTCTATTTGTCTCTCATCCAGGTATACAGAAACCAAACAACTTGGAGAATGGGAAAGGTGATGGCAACCGTGTCAGCATATACAGTAAATGTAAGAGCCTAGGAGGATTAACAAACTTGCTTGGCTGTTGCTCTCCCTCAAAACAGCTGCAGGTCCCAGCAGACTTGAAATCTTTGCTGCCCCTGCCCCAAGGTGCCTTTGTCAAAGTGCTTTACATACCCTGGTAGGTATCTTTGCCTGGAGGGAACAGTTGAGCTCCAGTGTTCAAATGCTTTCTTCTCCAGGACCAGACTAACTCAAGCTGGCAGAACTGCTCTCTGCCTGCACTCACAGTTTCTTCATTTCATATAGCCTGGGAGCCATGACCTGCTAATGTCTACCTCCCAGTCCTTAGAGTTGATCCTCCTTTCAGCTTTCCCCCCATGCCCCACACAAGAGAACGTTAAATGCAAAAACATTGGGACTAAATCTTGCTAAAGGTGAGATGGGGTGCAGCAGGAATCACAACCTACTCTTCAAGGCCCTGTTTACTGAATTTTTATCTTTTTTACTATCTTTGGACAGGTAAAGATTCACTGGAATGTGTGAAACATAAGGTATCATTTTGTTACATTTACTTGTCCTGCCATGCGCTCCTGTTCAAAGAACCTGCAGCAGACAGGCTGCATCTCTGCCTTTATACAGCTCTTTCCTGAGGAAAAGCTTGAATTTTTTGTTTGCCTTGAACCTCATTCAAGCTTAACCTTCTTAAGATCACTTGTGAAGTCAAGCTTTAGATCCCCTTTGCCTGTATGGAAGAGAAATTCGGGGGAACAGGACTGGACTTCTGCATGGGAGATGAGACTACCTCACTGCATGTGAAAGGAGGAACTTCTATATACTCAAGCAATGCTGCTGTTGGGTTCTGAAGTAGGCAGTTTCTCCTTGTTTAGGTAACTTCTTTTACTTCCACCTCCCTATTCTGGCTTGCATTTCACCCATTTCTTACATCATTCCCCTTACTGATGTGCTTGCGTCCTGCCCTTATATGAGCCTCCTGAGAAGCTACACCACTACAGCAACTTGTGTATGTGTACACATTGACGTGTTTGTTGACACTTTTGCACTGCTTTGGTGTGGACAGCAGCTGCAGCATTTTCAGCGAGAGTGAAATCCAGCTGGCCGTGCGCAGGTGCAGCTGCAGCGCGGGAGGTGACCTGCAGCTCAGGGCTGGACTGGGGAAGGGTGGCTGGTGAGAACCACAGGGCCCAGCTGACGTGTCTGCCCTCAGTGCTACAGCAAGTAGTGACAGGAAGCCTTTGATTGCAGACAAGCAGCAACAAAGATCTTGACAAATGGTCAAAAATCAGCA